ATTATCAACTTAGCAGTTATAATCTTATAACACGGAGTTTGAATAGGGTACTTGCCAAGTTAGTCAAATTAAACACATTTTTCGAAGTGTCAGAAACGACAGTTTTATATAAATTTTCGTACGAAATTGTGTATCGTGTCATCACGTTTTTTAACGTCAAAATAGCATACATACTTCTTAAAAAAAATACAAAAATTACGTTGGGAATTAAATGATGTATTATTTATTTTTTAATATTTTATTGTATTGAACAGTCGAAATAATTTATTTTTGATTAAGGAATTTACCCACTTGATGCCTCGTGTTTAATAATAGCTTATATCATCCAAGAATCGAAAACCTTACTTTGTTCTCGTCGTGCGCATGAAAGATGCTACAGAAAAATAAACATTTAAACTTTTAAAAAGAAAACAAATTGCAGTATGGATGGTCGTAAGAATACCCACCAATCATTGAGAAGTAAGATAAAAAGGTACTAGGTTCCATTTCTAATTACTGAACTTAAGAAGTTAAGTATCTAGCATTGGGATTGCGATAACTTCGATATTGGCCCAATGAGATGATAACACGACGTCAACGTGTCGAAATTGAAGCTAGGAATGCTCTGACTTCTATTCACTTGCCAATTTTTCAAATGGAACGAAGATCGTTATGGATACGGTATTTTTTTTTACGGTGCCCCTCGCTAGGATTTTCTCCTGTGTCGTGGGTGCATTTACAAACATACACATGAAACCCAGACCTGAAACAACAATTTATGGATCACACAAAGAGTTGCTTCGTGCGGGAATCGAACCTGCTACACGTGGCCCACCAACCGTGTAGTATATAGTGGTTTACCGTAGATTCGTTTGATTGTTACTCTACTTATATTAGAATTTTCTTGTATATTATAGGCCTGAATAATATTGGTACAATTTGAACATTCACATGGGTCACAAGAATAATTTCAAATGGTTCATCCAAAGGAATTGTTAAATACAATCATCAATTCAAACTTCACTATCCAAGTCCCAAACCATGACACAAAACTGTTAATTTACCTAAAAGATGTTTTAATGCACCAAAGCTTTAAGCTTGAAAGATACCTAGAACCACAGTATTTCTGTCTAGGCACAGTCTTCGTTGACACGCAAAAAGATGTTTCTGTTTTCGTGTACCATACGGTAATTGCTTTTGTCCAGACACAGCGACCTAGTAAATATAATTTAAAATTATCTAACGTTTATTTACTCGCCAGGTTAACCCACAAACAAATAATTAATAGTTTGACCAGTAGAAGCTGTGGGTAAACCGCAACTATCGCAGAAGCTAAGTGACCTAGTTTGCGAAAACTTTACGTTTGCAAATCGTACTCATCCCTTGGTAAGCGGTGGTGGTTGCTATGGCAACGGTGATAAAAGCCTGCGCGTGCGCACCTCACCACAGTCCGCGCGCACGCTAGCGCTCTGTACGCACTCGGTGAGTTGTTTTTTTTAATGTTAATTCTGTTTCTAGTTCGGATTTTCTAGTGTTCTAAATATTTAGTTTAGTTTTTGGGTTTTTTTTAAGTTTTCAGTGATTATTTAAGTATAGTATAATCGGTATATGGTTTAAGGTGAATAATACATCGAATATATCCGTATTTTAAATAAGACGTATAAATAATATTTAAAATGTAAATAAACATAATTTTATTCCACATTGGTGAAACAAAAATTATTTAAAAGTATTCAATGTAAAGCCGGGCTGATAAAAAAAAATCTAAAAATAGCTAGGTACATATTATTATATTTTTTCTACAAACAAAAAAACTTTTCTGAAAATAAATACGTAGGTATCTAGTTAAACTCAAAATACTCCATCTAAATAACAACGAAAATAATAATATCTAATCCACCACCCATTTCTTGGTATAAGTAGATACATTATCATAATTTATTTATTTAATTATCTATTAAAGAAAAGAAAAAACGGTAACATATCACAAAATATCTATACATATTTTTTTTTAATTTTAATAAGGCTTCAAGTAAAAACAAACTCCATAAACAGATAATAAAAACAAAATAAACTCACAAGGAAACTTAAATACCTGATACACAAGCGTTACAGATACATGTGGATACATAAGAGTGGGAGAGTCATGCTTCGGCACGAATGAGCCGGCTTGCCCGGAGTGATACCACGGCCTCACAGAAAACCGACGTGAAACAACGTTTGCGTTGTATTTCGTCGTGTGAGTGAGGTCATGGAAGGCCCAAACCCCCCATCCTCACCAATTCCTGAATCCCCAACAATCCTCAAATTCTTAATCCCCAAAAGGTCTGTAACGCTCTTGTATTGTAACGCCTCTGGTGTTCCAGGTGTCCATAGGCAACGCCGATTGCTTACCACCAGGTGATCCGTCTGCTCGTTTACCGGCTTATGCCATAAAAGAAACAAAATCAAGTTATTAACATTTCAAGCATGTGCTGAAAATCTAGATTTTGGGTATTGACTAATGGACATATTTAAAGTTAAGGATGTGACTTCAGTTCAGTTTGAGGACACAGCTTTGTCTGTAAAAGAGGTACTATTTAGAACTAAATTAACTTTTCCTTTTCAGTTTATTGTTTCTTTTACAGTTTTACATTCAGAAACATTAGTTAACAATAATAATTTTGAAGTCTGAACTGACTTCACTTTGTGAATTAGAATTTTTTAGAACTTAACTAGTTAACATACTTACCTTTTTTTATTCTTATTTATTTACGGGGTGTTTTCTCTCAATAGAAAATGTCACACGTTTATTGCGTACACGAACAACTTACAATAAAATACACATTAAAATAAGAGTTGCGTAGAGTTCAATACAATTTTGTTGTTCTGATTTTCAAACCGTGTCATAAAACTTCGATCTATGTAGTGAAACACTGAAAGTTGCATTTAAGTGCAGTCCCTACGTCTTTAATTATAAGGACATATTTGCAAAGTCAAGATAGACGATTTTTTTGGTACATACCTACCTCTTAACGTATTTGAATACAACTCTATGTCTTTGAAAGCTTTTCATTGAGAATACTCATCATCTTATGCTGTTGAGCATCGCTAACAAAGTCTAAAACACTAAAGAACATACCTACAACTAGACATACAATACCAATTTATAATACAACAGTTATAGGTAGTAGCGACTCAAACATTACCCAGCCAACAAAACGACCATAAATCACGACAACCATACACAAATCCGCGATAAATTCCTAAACAAAACTCCTAACATTACAAACACAATAATAATTATTTCGTTTTCTAAAAAATATTTCGTTTCATACCTTAGACAATGTTGCTTACATTATTTTCACACTGGTTTTGTCTAGTCTGTGGTTGACAATGAGCTGTTTTTGTCTATTATAATATGTACATGAACAATCGATGCATTGCACTGCTAACTTGAATGCTAGTGTCGGTGGCAGGTTCCAGAGATCAGTATATTGTTTTCAAATATGTAATTTGTGGTTTTAATTTTTGGTTCTAGTGTAGCTCGCTTTTGTTTGTGTTAGTTATGATATGTGGTGTTGTAAACAAGTTTAGGTGGTATTCCGGGGTTTTTATGTAATTTTACGTATTGCATTCGTTATAATGTCCATTCTCCTTCAATCTTCAAATAATTTTAAGAAAACATGTTTGAAAATTAAATGGACGTCGTGAACTCTAGTTCACGACGTCCATTCTAATGTCCAATAATAATTAAGAAGTATTGAATCAATATACTACAAATTTGCCCCCCTAGTAATCAGCTACCTTCTTTAAAATACTTATGTACAAATAAATGTTTGAGTTAGCGTCTATGTTTAATAGTGAAAAGTGGGTGTTACTTCTGTGTGCACCTCTGCCTACCCCTTCGGGGATAAAAGACGTGATGTTATGTTTTATGTTTAGCGTCTATTAACATCATCACAGTAATTACGCTGATATAGGCTTTTAGCATTTAAGACAAATAAACAAATACGTAAAATATCTAGTAGACTAGAACGTCTACAATAGACAGAACCTTTCCTTCAACAAAGCTCGCTCTTCGCTAAAATCTTATGAATTAACGTTCAGCAATTACGAGTGTTAGTTTCGCACACATTGTTTCCGTTACCACCAATTCCAAACTAATCTACTTACCCCACTTCCGTTCTAGTGTTTGCATCTTTAAAAGTTGATACCTGCTGTGTCATTATTATTCTGATATTTGATCCAAAATATTTAGAAAACCAACTGAAGTCTAGTCTCAATAACAGGGGTTTAATGGATATATTAAAAACGGCTCTAGAATTTATTAAGGGAAAAAGACTAGAGTATGGGACTATTATCGCATATAAAATAATTACAGTGGCCTCTATCAACACCTATGGTGAGTTGCTGAGGCACCGGATCCGCTAAATAAACTCGCTGCAAAGCCCTCACAGGTAAAGAGACTAATCTAGAACCGAAAATCAAATGCAATACGGGATTCAGTCGAAAAAAAAATTGTACTCAAAGACATCATATTGGACTGCACCCACTGGACGTACAGGGACGTACAATGCAGTACGTTGTAATATTTCTAAGTGTTAAAATTGGACAAACACTAATTACCAGAGACTAATTGATTAGGCACTATAGACACGCTAACCTTTAGATTGGACCTACTTTTTAATCTTTACTGTTAAATATACATTCAAAAGATGCGTGAAAGTTAATCGCTTAACTAGGAAGCGTCTATTTTTATCTAAGTAACAAATTAGTACAAAGAATGTATTTATATTGGTTGCTCCATAGTGAACGGCTAATTAAAGTTATGTATTGCCAAGTACATAAGCCTATTGAAAGGAAACTAGATATATTGAGAGAATGGACATTTTTTACCAATTAGTGTCAATAAATTCAATAAGTATGGAAACGAAATAAAAGTCCCATTGAGGTGATAAATAATAATCCGGACCACCTACATTATCTATACTAATATTATAAAGCTGAAGTGTTTGTTTTTTTGTTTGTTTGTTTGTTTGAACGCGCTAATCTCCGAAACTACTGGTCCGATTTGAAAAAATCTTTCTGTCTTGGATAGCCAATTTATCGAGGAAGGCTATAGGCTATAAAATATCATGCTACGATTAATAGGCGCCGAGCAGAGCGAGTGAAACCGCGCGGAAGTAGCTAGTAGTAACTAGTATTACTCAAAGACAAAATCGAATCATTTATTACAATAAGACCAATATAGGACACTTTTGAACGAACGTACACAAAATAAAAATATCAACGTAGTGATAAAGAATCACGAACACTGATGATGACCTCTTCTATTAACATTATAAACATCCGGTACACCAGAAGAATCGCTCGCGCATATTGTAGTTCGTATTCCGTAGCGAATTCCTTTAAAGTTTTTATGTACGAAATGTATTCTTTGAAAATAGGGATGATGACAGTATAAAAATTGAAAATCGAGTTAGTCCGTCAGTCAGGTAATGATATACGGAGCCGCGGAAGGCTTAACGGGTGGCCGGGGCTCCAGCTCGAAGAGCAGGAGGAACGGGGTGGTTTTTAGTCAGTAAGAGTCTGTCAATCTCTCCCGCAGGGAGAAGTCATTGGATGATTTTACCTCCTCAAAAATACTTGTCTAATGTTTTTAAATAATGGACCACACGGACAATAAAATAAGAATTAGTCATCTAACCTATTATTATAGTCAGTAATTTATCTCCAACAACAACAATAATAAATTCGATAGAACTTTAGAGACCAATCAGTAAGGTTTTGGGCCATTTGTATCTACCTATGTGAAAATGTGAAATTGGTGGTAATGGTACCTAAGGGAATATATTGCGTGGATGGCCCGCAGTGATGCGTGGGTCACGTTCCATCACTCTGGCAGTCAGAACACGCCATTACAGAACTGGACCTCAGGCCATACTTAGGTGACCTAGGTGCTAAGTATAGGCCTAATTCTATTGAAACGATTTGAGAAAACCATTATCCAGCAATAGCAAATCCGACCAGTAGTAGTAGACAGTAGTAAATGCGACAAATACTTAGGTAGGTAAGCTTCTGACTGTGAAAATGGTCGAAGTAAAAATCACTTTAAAATCTTTTGCTATAAAATGCGACCTTGAATCGTACCAAAGGCTCATCACAAATCAGACAACTAATCAACTAACATAAGTTATTCTAAGATTGACGACACCACTGACAAACGGTGAAGGAATCAAACATCGTGAGGAACCCTGGATTTTATAATTTCTAATTATAAGTTTGAAATCTCCAACCCGCATTGAGCAAGCGTTGTCGTATCTGTCGTTGGCGGTTAGTCGGAACCGATATGGCCTTTAAACCTTCAAGGAAAGTGTACCTATTCCTTTTTAATAGCACCTGTGACTCCTCTGGTGTTGCGGGTGTCCATGGGCGGCGCTGACCGCTTACCATCAGGTGATCGGTCTGCTCGTTAGCCTCCTATTCCTTAAAAAAAGCGTGGCGATTACTGCTCAAACCTCCGTGTGAGAAGAGGCCTTTGGTCAGCAGTGGCTTCTTATAGACTGTTGATGTGTTGATGTGAATGAGACTAATATAAGTAGGTCATTGTAATAATACATCACAATATAGTTTTTATATACTAATAAGACAGCTACATCCCATCCATAGTCACTTGTGTATGTATTACTGTAATTTCCAACATTCGTGCAGTTTTTATTATATTTAATTAGATAAATATATAGAAATATTCACTTCTGCAATTCTTTATTATATCTTTGGGTAAATATAATACCTGGTTGTAGTTACATTGGCTACCTACAAGTTGTTATTTTATTTATTAGTTTCGTTGTTATTTACTTATTATGTGTTTGTAAATAGTCAAGGTGCCATTATGGCATTATCATTATGTAGCTGGGGATTTGAACAGAAATTAAATTATGTTCTTTTTTTAAGACTCGACTCGAAAATAAACATTTTCTTACCCTCTGCGGCTGACGTGTAATCCCACAGACACCGTGAAATACAAAATCACGTGTTATACCGTCATTTTTCAAATACGAGCATCACTGCTGCGAGTACCTTACTGTATAGTGCTCGCTATACTTTAATTCTACAAAAATATTTGCTGTTGAAATGGTGTCTGATATAATATACACCTCAGTTGAATTTTAACAATTTAACCACGTCAGTTGCAGAGGGTTAACATAATTATACATAAGTTTAATGGCGGCACTGCCATTCAATGTGGCAGTGCTGCCAGTCTTTTGGGCACCCTACCTCACGGTAGCGATGAGGAAAATGTTTTCTTTGATGCATTATGATATATTATTATTATAATTTTTTTTTAGGTGTAAATATTTTATTTTTAAATTATTTATATTTTAAGATGTATTAAAATTATGTAATTAAAAATTTTCTTATTGGTGCGTCGATCCAAAAAATGTAACTTTGGTTCGAAATACAAATTTTATGTAATTTTAATATCTAACGACTATTTTTTCTTTTCAGATTTAGTTTAGCCTAGAGGTGCAGCACCAACACTATGCTGCGTTTGTCAATTTTTTGCAGTGAGTACCTATGACTTCTTTATTATTATTTTTTACCCCAGAGTAAAAAGTAAGCGTTTTGTTTTTGCTGTTAGTATGATACTACATTTTTTTTTCACCGTAAATTAAAAAATACACGTTTGAAAGCTTTGTATGGTGGAAACTATTATATGAATTATTGTTAAATATGATTTTTAATTAGACATTTGATGGTATGCGGCTTGCTAGAAAACACTTAAGGGCTGATTTCCAACGCTAGCTACATTTTAACTGAGGAATAAATTTGAGCATTTGACAAATCTTCTATAGGTACTAAAACGGTCAAATGTCAATTTCATTCTATAGTTAAAAGTAACTGACGATTGGAAGATCGGTCCTAAGCTAAGCAAAAATCCACAGTCTTCGACACATCAAACTGATAGGTACCTACTTACTTATGTCTTAAAAAAAACATTTTTTTTTTTATTTGTGATTCTTTTGACGCTTCTTTATTGTAGTTTGTGGTCTGGAGTATATAGGATACTGCTGGATACTTAGATACGCCTGAATAAAGGTTTCCACACAAAATTCACTTGTAAACAAGTACGCACGCAACCTCTTCACCTTAGGATAATCAAGGAATTATAGAAAATGACAACATAAAACCTCCATGCAATTTCTCTCTATCTTCAAAGTCTTACATAATCTGTGGTCTAAGAATTTATGATTTCAATTGCATATAATTAGAGATGCTTATTGGAGCTGCAATTAAAGGGTTAATTATTACTCAAACAAGTAATGTTTTAAACTGTTTTATTGGCAATATTTTGAAGTATTTTCACTCTTAATTTACGTAAAATCCAAATGTCTTAATTGGACTCAAAAAGGAAATTCTTTACACATTATTTACTTCATATTATAATCATTGGCTTCAACATGTGTCAGACTCATTGTCAGGTGGCTCTATTTCAAAACCCAGGCAGTTAGTATTTTTTGGAATTTTTGATTTAATTCGTGAGCTGTGCCTGCGACTTCGTCCGCGTGGAATAGTGATTCACAGTTCCTCCCTTGCAGGTGATAGCGTATTAATAAGTGGCCTATAGATATGTCGACTCGACTAAAATTTGAAACTAAAATCCATGCAGCACTTTTTGTCAAGACAAACAGACAAAAATTCTAAAAATTACCTATATTTTTGACTACGGTATCGGTTGTAGATAATGCCCCAAGCATTGGTTTAAAAAATATTTAATGTTCAGTTTTCACTTTGACGATATGATACGATTTTGTTAGATTTCTGTAACGCTTCTACGAGTATAGATTGTGGCATTGTATCGTGTATGCAAGAGCCATTACATTTACACTCCAGCCGATCTTTAAAAAACTTGACGGTACTTAATAAGTCAAAAATAAGTTATTTCAGCTGTTCAATACAACAAAATATGTTTAAAAAATCACACTTACATTCATTGTTTTTATGACAACTTAAGTTTAGTATTTTTCCAACAAATGTTTAAGAAATAAGTACTTACGCTGTTTGATGCTAAAAAACGTGACGTCACAATACACAATCTCGTACAATATTCATAGAAAACTGTCGATTTTGATTGACAGTTCGAAATAAGTATTGAATTTGACTAGTTGGCAAGTACCTAATTCTTTGTTTAGGTAACCCAACCAAGCTGAACTAATCTGCCAAATATCATTTAGAACTTGTCTACTTGTAGAGTAGAAAACTAAATTATATGGAATTGACGTAAATTTTTACACATGTCAGTATCATCCCCATACATTTAGTTTTCTACTCTCTTCGTAGACAAGCACTAAAGTGGCGTTTGGATAAAGGCACTGTTGCTAATATTTATTTACATAAGCAAGACCACTTCACCCTCATAATTTCCATTACCAGGTCATTATAACACATAAACCATTAATAAGCGATTCCTAATTGAGTATCACTTGGTTCCCACCAATTTGCTTGTCAAGTTGACCCGTTGTGAGATGTTTACTATATCATTAGAGTGGACATCATCTAATGCTTCTTGTGACATCGGACTGAAGTGTTAAACGATTTCTTTCCTTGAGATCTTCGAATTTGAATTCAATTTTGATTGTGTTTTGAGTCATCACTACATAGTATAAAACAAAGTCGCTATCCACCGTCTGCTGTCCCTATAAATGCTTAGATCTATAAAACTACGCAACGGATGTTGATGCGGTTTCTTAAACTGTCAAACACCAAGCGGTCACCGGTGACCGCAACCTATTGTTCTATAATTGTGTCTGCAAAACCGGTACTCGACGAGTTAAGGAAGGTTTATATGTATAATACATGCATGTTGCACCCGTGCGAAGCCGGGGCGTATCGCTAGTTAGATCATAAGTAGGAACTGTGGGGATTTTTTTTTTTTTTAAGGGGGGAAAATCATCGAATGACTGCTCCCGCCTGGGTGAGGCGGAAGGGAGTGTCAGACTCTTACTGACTAAAAACCACCCCGTTCCTTCTCCTGCACGTCGAGCCGGAGCCCCGGTTACCCGTTAGGTTCTCCGCGACGAACTGTGGGGATACGGTCTAGAATAAAATTGAGCTTAGTATTTGCTAATAGTCTTGACTTTTACCAGTCTTACTCCAAGGTAGTTAAGATATCTGTAGCTATGGACAACCGTTAGGGTTACCAGTGCTCTGGCTCGAACAGGGATGTTAGGGAGCTCCGTAAACCGTAACCGAAACTATCGGATATCCGATATAAAAAAATATCCGTAACCGAATCCGAAATAAAAGTTTCGGAGACTATCGGATACGGGCGTGACGTATAAATGAAACCATTATAATAACTATTTGTATTTTACTTTTGAAATTCCTAAAAATTTTAATATCCGTAACCGAAATTATCTGTACCCGTATCCAGTATAATAACATAACACAACATCACGCCTTTTATCCCCGAAGGGGTAAGCACAGGTGCACACAGAAGTAACACCCACTTTTCACTATTTATGTTATGAGTCCCATGTAGGTAATAGGGGGTGAGCCTATTGCCATATACCGGGCACATTTCCAGACTCCGTGCTACTGAGTTTTTTTTTAATAAAAACCCAGTAATACTTTGCCCGACTCGAATCGAACCTGAAACCCCTTGCCCGGCAGTCGCACTTGCAACCACTCGGCCAACGACGCAGTCCTGTATAATAATCATTTCTCTGGTATCCAATCTGTATCCGACTGGGCTCGAAGCAAGGAGCTTAAGAACGGAGTGGTTTTTAGTCATGTCCAAATAATTAAACGCTACTCAATTTGAAGTCGTGCTTCAATATAATTCTGTCACTACAAATTATTGTTAAAATGACAGTTATAGCATGATACATAAGTATATAACTTAATAAATGGGTAGCCTTTCAGTATTCGGGCGTGTTACGTATCGGTGCCGACACATGTACCTACACCGTGATCAACGCCGTGCCACGAGGAGCATATCTGCTGAATCAGGACGTTAGACCTACTTTGATGCAACGAAGTATTGCAACACCTAAACTGCTGAGTCGTCACCTCTTGTCACCGCCTCGTGCCCAGCTGCGAATCGCTGCATCATCAATCGCCCCACTAAATTTAACCTCAATAGGTTTTATTGGAAACCTTCTAACTGTCGATTTTGATTGACAGTTCGAAATAAGTATTGAATTTGACTAGTTGGCAAGTACCTAATTCTTTGTTTAGGTAACCCAACCAAGCTGAACTAATCTGCCAAATATCATTTAGAACTTGTCTACTTGTAGAGTAGAAAACTAAATTATATGGAATTGACGTAAATTTTTACACATGTCAGTATCATCCCCATACATTTAGTTTTCTACTCTCTTCGTAGACAAGCACTAAAGTGGCGTTTGGATAAAGGCACTGTTGCTAATATTTATTTACATAAGCAAGACCACTTCACCCTCATAATTTCCATTACCAGGTCATTATAACACATAAACCATTAATAAGCGATTCCTAATTGAGTATCACTTGGTTCCCACCAATTTGCTTGTCAAGTTGACCCGTTGTGAGATGTTTACTATATCATTAGAGTGGACATCATCTAATGCTTCTTGTGACATCGGACTGAAGTGTTAAACGATTTCTTTCCTTGAGATCTTCGAATTTGAATTCAATTTTGATTGTGTTTTGAGTCATCACTACATAGTATAAAACAAAGTCGCTATCCACCGTCTGTCTGTCCCTAGATATGCTTAGATCTATAAAGTTGATGCGGTTTTTTTAATAGATGGATTGATTCTTAAGGAAGGTTTATATTATAATACATGCATGTTGCACCCGTGCGAAGCCGGGGCGTATCGCTAGTTAGATCATAAGTAGGAACTGTGGGGATACGTTCGTAGATATGTACAAGCAGTCTAGAATAAAATTGAGCGTAGTATTTGCTAATAGGATTGACTTTTAGCAGTCTTATTCCAAGGTAGTTAAGATATCCGTAGCTACGGACACCCTAACGGGTTATCACGGCTCTGGCTCGAACAGGGATATTAGGAAGCTCCGTAAACCGTAACCGAAACTATCGGATATCCGATATAAAAAAATATCCGTAACCGTAACCGAATCCGAAATAAAAGTTTCGGATACTATCGGACAGGGGCGTGACGTTAAATGAAACCATTATATTAGCTATGTGTATTTTACTTTTTAAATTCCTCAAAATTTTAATATCCGTAACCGTATCCAGTATAATAATAATGTCTATATCTGTATCCAATCCGTATCCGAAATTTCATACCCATAACATCCCTGGTCTCGAAGCAAGGAGCTTTAGAACGGGGTGGTTTTTACTCAGTAATGTCCAAATAATCAAACTCAATGTGAAGTCGCGTTTAAGTATAGCTCTGTCGCTACAAATTATTGTTAAAATGACAGTTATAGCATGATATATAAGTATATAACTTAATAAATGGGTAGCCTTTCAGTATTCGGGCGTAAGAGTCTGACACTATCGCCTAACCCAAGGCGGGAGACTTCATTAGACGATTTTACCCCTTCAAAATATAAAAAAGCTAGTTAAGATCGGCACTATTATCTTAGTTTCCATTCTCTTTATCAGTCGTCACTCCTTGGCTTTCATATCCGATGGGATATGTTATGTAAGAAGATGATGACAGGATTTTACTTACTTAATAAACGACTGTTCGTATGGTACTTATTTATTTCGCAAGGAGACTTTGAGAACCAACAAGCAGCCAAAAAACAATATGCACGTGTTTTATCTTAACTGACATCTTAAGTAGCCTTTCCTCTTTGCAAAATATCTTATACAACTTAACTAATGAAGAAACGGCGACACAAACTGTAACACTGAATTAAATAGCATCTTCGCACGTTATCTCACCAACTTAACACTGCGGCCCCAAAACTACAAATTCAACTAAAATAAACTTTACGCCCCTGTCATTGAGTCGCTTTTAATTGCACTTTCGATTGTTCGACCGTAAATTTAAGTTGGTATAATTTGAATCTTCCTTGTTCCATTGTTGTATAGCGATCGTGACGGAAAGCACGATAGATGCGCCATCTAGTGGTGAGACTGTGGCAAAGAACTATTTTGAATATGGAACACTTCCCTGTTTGAAATTCGAACACCAACGAGTCGAGAAACTGGAGCAACTTTGCTCTGTGGCATGGAGTTACAAAGAAGGTTGCGCTTGTATGGAGATATTCTCGTAATTTCAAAGACTTAAATGGAAGTTTAAGAGTCACGATGCTGCTTCCCATACACAATCAAATTCAATGTATCGTGCAAGTGCGAATCAATTTGCGAGCCAGTATCATCAATTGAAAAGTTGTGAAATAATATTATTTCTAAACCGGCTTTCTTGATAAGAACCTAGTGTTTAAAGAAAATGATACTTTGAATTGCACAGAACAAAAACGGCAGGCTGTGGTGTTTATCTTATATCTGACATACCGTCTAGTGTCTAAACAGACGTAATTAGGTAGGTACTTATAATACTTAGAGATACCTAACTATAGTTTACAATCTTAGAACAGTGTCTCAAAGCGGTTTTGAACTGATCATTATTCAGAATTCCTTTTAAATAGAAGCTAAGAATTCTATCTTTGTAACGTTAGTGTTTATTTGAAATGAAGTTATAGATAAACAAGGAGGAGAATATTAATTGCCTGCCTGACGGCCTCCTTGGCCGAGTGTTTGCAATTGAGGCAAGGGATATCGGGTTCGATTCCCAGGTCGGGCAGTATCATAGGTTTATAAAAAATTCTCAATAGTAGTCTGGAATTGTAGCCGGTATATGGCAATAGGCTCACCTCCTGTTACATGAGACTCATAACGTAAATAGTGAAAAGTAGGTATTATTAAATGGCATTAAGTGCCGTAATGTGCACCGCTGCCAACCCTTTAGGGATAAAAGGCGTGATGTTATGTTATGATAATGTTAAATAGATCTTTGTAAAATGACCGTCATTTAGAATGACCTAGTCATCTGAATTTGAGTAGAAACGAATGTCTGGACACTGATTTCAAGTTTAAACTTAGCCCTAGTTATTTTTTGTAGGTTAAAGTATATCTTGTACCACCCAGTTTTAATCAGTTATGAGTATAAATTAATTATTATGTTTTCGGCTTATTCACGCAATTATTTGACGAATATAAATATGACTCTCTAGCATGGCTTGAAACTAGTCGAGTTCTTCGTCTAATTACGTGAGTAAGCCGAAAAACAAAATAAACATAGTTATGAACCCCATGATAGATACAAACTTTGTGTTTTCGGAAGGACCTGCCCTATTAATTTTAGATTTGCTAGAGTCTTTTTTTTAAGGGGGGAAAATCATCGAATGATTTCTCCCGCCTGGGTGCGGCGGGAGGGAGTGTCAGACTTACGGACTAAAAACCACCACGTTCCTACTCCTGCACTTCGAGCCGGTGCCCCATCAACCCGTTAGGTTCTCCACGGCTTTGCTAGAGTCTAGCCTAACGACTTTGTTTCTACTACACTATTTTCTGAACCGAGTTATCACTCGATTGCGAAATATGACCGTGCCTGCCATGTCAACTGACCATTTACGATGTGAACAATCTCAACCAAGTCTCAAGTCCCATCATTACCATTTACTTTACTTACGAAATGTGTAGATTAAATCTTTATTTTCTTAGAAAAACATTTTGTAGGTCATGAATAGAATCAAAGTAGGTACCTAATAGATATTATGTTAATCCTAGCTAATGCTAGTCAGTCTTACTTAGACTACGCTGGGACCCGTAGACAAATAATATTCAGAGCCCTTCTGGAATGTTTCTTTTTTTAACGTTGCCCCACACTTTTTTTTAAGGGAGGAAAATCATCGAATCACTGCTCCCTCCAGGGTGAGGCGGGAGGGAGTGTCAGACTCTTACTGACTAAAAACCACCCCGTTCCTTCTCATGCACTTCGAGCCGGAGCCCCGGTTACCCGTTAGTTTCTCCGCGACTCCGAATCGGCATCGGCCCTGGTTGCCCCATACTAGGATTTTCATCTGTATCGTGGGTGCATTTTCAAACATTTACAAACATTGTGCATTTACAAAAGTTTACATACATACATGCCACCCACACAACAACAATTTGTGGATCAAATAAAGATTTGCTCCATGCAGGAATCAGACCCGCTAAACGTTGCGGGGCAGCCGGTTTCCGTGTAGCGGTTGTGTGTTTGTCGAAGAAATTGTGGGTCTTCCGAAGCCCCTGAGGATGGGGGCCCTGAGCACGGGCTCCAAATAAAGACAGTACCAAGCTGATGAACCCATCGCGATCTCCAACCCACCTATAGGTTACTCTTTTCTAAAGTGGATACAGTTAAAACAAATCACTTAACATTCAATTTCGACTAAACCTTGTGTTGTGGTAAAGATGTATTAAGATAAAATTATCTCAGCTATTAAGTAAAATCTAACTGGCAAATTGCTCTATTCTTCTAAGAAAACTACTTACGCATACATAAGCACCCATGTAATCGCTCAACGTTTTGTTTGAAATTACTTCCATGTAAAACCAATTTGCTAATAATAGATCGGATAAGAGATAATGTATCTAAACTAGGTACTCTATGAACTTAATTTAATATGGTTACCTTGTTTAACTATTCTAATATTTCAATTATTTACCTAATAGAAAGTTTCTAGAGTAAGGTATAAGTAACTTTTCAGGCGATTGTTAAAAACGTAATGTGAACTAAAGTTACCTCTTTGTAAATCATCTTTATATACAAATTTGAATTTCCGTTCGTTAGTCTGTCTAAATTTCGAGAACGGCTGAACCGATTTGACTAATTTAAAAAGTTCGTGGAAATCCAGGGAATGTTTAAAAGGTGAGAAATCAGTCAGGTAAAAAAGGAATTTATGAGGCGGTACGAAGTTTGGGTCAGCTAGTCCCTCCTAAGGAAGCTTTCAAATAAATAAAAATTCCCTATCCGATAGTATTACTTTACATAATTTTCGCAAGTCAATTATAAAATTCTTCTATTGGCGTTTCATTTATCATCGTTGTATGCATTAGGTAGGTGTAGACATAGGAACATTTAAAACGATGAATAAAAGATTTGGAACTTCTTTTGATACTCATAAAAAATACATGGGCACTCAACCTCATTTTGGAAACAAAGAGATAAAAATCCTCTATCTAAAATCACAAAAAAGGACCGAGACAATTTAATTCCTAAACGTATCGTTTACTTATTTCCCGCCATGTTTCCCGCCAGTTGGCGGCGGCCATATTGCGACGTTCTGCCAATAGCATACCCAATCACACGGTTCGTCTTCAATTGGAGCAAATGTTACGGGGTAAATGATTAAACATTTGGACAATCAAAGTTAATTAGGTTCAATCAATCAATGGACTAGGATAAGATAAGATAGAGATTTGATTGCAACGTAACAGCTTCTCTAGCATATGTTGTATTTTGATCTCTCAAGTTATATACAAACTAGCTTCTGCCCGCGACTTCGTACGCGCAATCCCATTTTCTCCCGTTCTTGTAGGATTTTTAGGATTTTTTCTGTCATAACAAATGCAACAAAAAAAAAATCAGCCAAATTGGTCTAGCCGTTCCCAAGTTATGGCGTGACAACGGAAAACGGGTTTCATTTATATAGTTATATAGGTATAGATATCAAATGTAGTCAATAACATGTCAGATCATTATAGTAAACAATTGTAAGAAATCATCTAAAATCAAACAATAATAACCCGTAAGACCCGTAAGACTAAGAGAGCTTAAGCTTATATTTTCAACTTCTATTTTCCAGTGGTACTGGCCCTTGCTGCCGCTCAAAATGGGTACGACTACAACAGACCCAACAGGCCGTTTGGTCAGGGAACGTCGAGCCGACCTGGGACATCGCCTGGATCCGGAGGAACCACGACAACATCATACCCTATAAGACCACAAAGCGATGACTTCAGTGGCCCCAGTGGACCAACTACTGGCTACCCTTCCGGACCTCAAAATTATCCAGGATCAGGAGGCCAAAGACCAGGCTACCCTGGTCAAGGACCTAGTGGACCATCAGGCAGCTACCCCGGCCAATCAGACTCATCCTACCCTCAAGGACAACGTGGCCCATCTGGATTCCCCGGTCAAGGATCTAGATATCCTGGACAAGGCCAAAATTATCCTGGCTCTGGATCTGGGAACAATTATGATACCACTAGTTTCTCTGATAGCGATAATGGTAATTACGAGGGTGGGGACTATTCGGCTATTCCTGGTGAACCTGATATAGACTATCCCATTTTATCCTACATCCCTCAAACCTCATTCAGTTGCAAAGCTCAATCTCTTCCTGGATACTACGCTGATGTTGACGCCCGTTGTCAAGTTTTCCAAGTTTGCTCCAACAACATAACGTATGATTTCCTCTGTCCTAATGGAACCATCTTCTCTCAAGAAGATTTCGTTTGCGTTTGGTGGAATCAGTTTACCTGTGAGTCTGCTCCTGGCCTTTACGAATTGAATGCTAAGCTCTATGACTATTCAATCAAAGGATCTTCCGACGACTATTCTAGCTTCAACGACTACTCTGGATCTTCTTATCCAGGTGGTAGAGGGCCACAAGGGCCATCGTCTTACCCAGGTTCTGGATCTTCACGGCCATCTAACTATCCAGGTAGTTATGGACCATCAACACCTTACCCTGGTATACAATCGACCAGTTCATACCCTGGTTCCCAAGGCCCATCAGGTGGATAACCAGGGCCCCAAGGTCCAACTGGAAATTACCCAGGATCGCAAGGACCATCGGGTAGTTATCCCGGCTCACAAGGGCCATCAGGTGGCTATCCTAGTTCACAAGGACCATCAGGTAGTTACCCAGGTTCCCAAGGTCCTTCTGGAAACTATCCAGGGTACCCTGGATCCGGTTCTGGTCCACAAGGACCTTCAAGCGGGCCAAGTGGGTCTGGGTATCCAGGATCAGGTTCCACTACACCCTATCCTGGATCAGGATCAGGTAGTCAGGGATATCCGTCAGGTAGACCTAGTGGGCCAAGTTTTAATGGAGGTGGTAGTAGGGGAAGGCCTGCACAGAAACCTAACAGAGAATATCTCCCGCCTAGAAATTAATTAAGACCAATAAAAGACTAGAAACAAGTTTATAAGCGTACCTGAATGTAATCCATAAACTACCATTATTTTCAATCAAATTCACAATGTAGGAGAGAGACCTGTAAATTGGAATATTTCCTTAAAAATGGGTGTCAGTATTAAGTACAAATTTTGACAAACGAAAGTTGGTGCTGACTTTTTTATTAAAATATAAGTAATTAAATATTCTTATGCGTTATTAAGGACTATTTATTAGAGTTAGGTTATTCGTAAGTTTGGTGGCTATATGTCATCGAATTCGCTTTAGTATTATTAAGTTAAGATTGGTACAAAATTGTGATGTTGAAACCGAAAGTTACCAAAACTAGAACATTTTCTATTGTATACCTAATTAAAACATGTTAAGCTTTATCTATAACACTTTGATTGTAAATACACAATATATCTACTAATAATTATGTCATAATTTCTGTAATCGAATAAATGATTCAGCAACGATCATTTCATGTTTTCTTTAGCACTGAGCGCCTTCAAATTAGCGTTTGTCCAGCGTAGACTGTAGACATCACAACGCAAGACAACTGCACCTCGTAGTCGCGGCGTCTGCGCGGCGCATACGTTTATCGAACGCCAACACCGAACAAACGGCAGAGTGAAGACGCTTTTAGTTACATAATTAAATACAAGACAAAATTTTAGAAATTATTTATTGTAAAAATTGTCCTTAGGTATAATAACTAGGTACTTATGTATCTAAATACCGTACCTTGGCAACATAAGCAGCATTACATACCTACAGACAGACAAAATAATACTTATTCTGTTATACAACTTAAATTATCATCTTCTTAAACAATACCTCCGAATAACTAAAAATAACGGTTCACACACGTAAATATACTGAGAAAAGCTCTACTAGTATCGAGTCACAGAGGGACTCGTCCTCATGATCAGAGGGCTTAGTATGAGTTTCTTTTTCGTTTAAAGTAATCGAAACGAGAAGGCGTTCGGTACTCTGATTGGTTGGTTCATTGGCGCCGGCCAATCAGAGCGCCGAACGCGTACTCGTTTCGAATACTGTAAACGTAAATCAAACTCGTACTACGGCCTCTTAGTGCGCGTACGAGCGACGTCGCTCAGCCTAGTGCTTGCGTTGTCCTTCAGAATCTCACGATGATGGTTATTATAAAAATATACTACCTTTTATGAAACCTAAGTAATTGAGTAGGTATATATTTAAAGGTAAACGCTTTAAAGTAATAATACGTAAAGAACTAAATGCACTTAAAAGTAAACAAAAATACATATTACACTTAAAATAAAAGAAAAATAAAAGTCATTAAAGCTTAAAAATAAAATTAAAGTGCGTTGGCACCTAACATCAAGTTTCAACCCACGGGGGGTTAGACAGAGGTGCATAATTATATTACCCGTTTAGTCGTTTATAATAAGGAAGAGAACATATTATCATATTCTGTGATTCCAGATTCCGCATTATTAACTACAGAGAATATTCGGAAAATTCAAAAACAAGAGTAATATTATGTCCGATCCTGTAATTACACCAACGAGGAACCTAATTCGGAGATAACATAACGTTTCAACCAAAACTCATTATTTCGACAAGCAAAAATAACAGATGCCTATAAGTTTTTTTTAATAGGGTAGATGACTAATTTTTATTTTAATGTCCGTCTAATAGATTATTTAAAAACATTACGCACGTATTTTTATATTTTTTACGGAAATGAATAGTTTCGAAGATATTGATTTGAAATGTCGCGTGACGTCACTTCTATGTACATTTTATACGTAGAAATGACGTTTTAGCCCCCACTTCTAAACTTTGATTCGTTATATCTAAGTATTATTTTACTATACGAGAAAATAAAAAAATACGTGTCTAAAATTTTTTCATTACCTAACTTACGGACTAATAATATTTTTAATTTTCATACCCTGTCATCATCCCTATTTTATCTTCAATAAATCAAATCAACTTTTTTGAACTATGCACCCGTTTTATGACAACAGATGGCCTTGCCTTTCGAACCCAACTCTTCAAAATTACAACTTTTCTTAAATATAAATCAATTTCCTCCATATCATCACAGTTTTGTGGAATATAGTTCCCATCTAATATCACTCGAATCAGTCCGGTCTCTTTGCGTCCCTTAGCCACATCGTCCTGATATGCTAGGACTTGCTTGATTCTCTGAAGAGATGGAAATTCTAGATTATTATAAGCCATATTTAGGTAACACAGTATTAAATTCCCCTCGGAGTAGGCTACATTGTCGACCTTATAAAGCAAATTCTCAGGTGCGAAAGGATCTTCAAAATCCCCTGCTATCCCTCTAGCCATGGCTTCAGCTCTATCTGCTACACTTTGGCGTGATATCTTCTTATGTTTTTTGTGTGAATGCTTCATAAGTGACCTCCTCCCAGATATGCTGCTCTCCATGTCATCTACTGACGTTGGTGTTGGCGTTGGCGCTCTCCCGTACTTCAAATCCATAAGGCATCTTATGTACACATTCATTTTATTCTGTACATATCTAAATTTTCTGCGTCTCATTGCCATAATCTCATCCGATTCCAAAGGAAACTTCATAAAAGTTTCTATCATTGGTCGGAAGCCCTCGTCAGTGATCATATTTCCTGACAAATTGAGGTGTAACAAACATCGATTTGTTCTCAGCACAGTTCCTATGAACTTAGCTCCTTCATCAGTTATTTCATTAGATCCTAATTCTAAAACTTGCAGGGTATTCCCAGCTGGTGCATGAAAATGAATATTTGTGAAAATTTTCTTACAAATCGCGTCATTAATGCAGCACCTATTAAGTGACAAATATTTCAATTGGGTAAACTGTTAGAGAAGAATATAGTAATTGCCTTCTTTTACGTACGAATCATCAAAGCAAACTTCAGTTATATTTGAAATAGGAAGTAATTTATTAATTTCGTAAATTAGTTTATCAGTTAATCCGCTTCTGCGGAAAGTGAACCGGGATAACGCGGAATGGTAAGGTAAGGAGAGGCTTATGGCTTGGATAATTTTCCTCGACACGGTAACTTGGCATTCGAGAATGGCTATTTCTATTAATCGCTTTTTGACGTCATAATAAGCTGTTATTGGGACCACTTCTTCACCGTACACGTGCAAGTTATTTTGCTGTTCAATGTTTACTATAGAGCCAGGCAGTGAAATTCCTTCAGAAGCAAGAGGTTTCGAATCCTGGCTAAAGGTTTTACTCCTTGTCTTGATGATTGATTTTCTTATGGGAAGTTCTGTAAACAAAATTAGACAGCATGTGTGACAATAAACTTGATTTAATTTTTTTTTGTTTTTTTTTTTTAATTCCTTTCTGCTGCTCGGCTCCTAAAGAAGATAGCGCGATGTTTTGTAGCCTATAATCTTTAAAAATTGGGCCTCCGGTAACTACACTCACTCACGGGACGAAACACAACAGACTTAGATACAACCATGAAAACACCGGAACACTGAAGCCTCCCAGGGACATGAGTAACTGTCTTGGATCCCGCAACAAAATAAAGCGGAAGATACTAATAGAGGAGAACGAAGCATGACTCTCCCTCACTTAACTCGTCGAGTACCGGTTTTGTAGACACAATTATAGAACAATAGGTTGCGGTCACCGGTGACCGCTTGGTGTTTGACAGTTTAAGTTGTAATATTTTTGATTCTTATCATCATCATCATCATCAGCCGGGAGACGTCCTAATCTTATACTATTATATAAAGCGGAAGAGTTTGATTTTTTGTTTGTTTGTTTGAACGCTGTAATCTCCTAAACTCCGTGATTTGAATATTTATTTTGTGTTGGATAGCGCATTTATCGAGGATAGCTATAGGCTATAAAACATCACGCTACGACCAATAGGAGCTGAGCAGAGCGTGTGAAACCGCGCAGAAGTAGCTAGTGCTGAATAAAGGCCTCCCACTTAGTCATCCACATTGAACGATAACTCGCCACTTGCATTTATTGGCACCCCACGTCAACAGACCAAGTGACTTGGCTAATGGACGCATTATTTCCTTGTTTTGATGCCAATAAAGAGTGTCTGTTTTCACGGAACCATTCTATTTGCCACTTGAAAATTGCTAAATATTTTTAAAGCATACCTTGCGTTTTTCGAGTGATCAGAATAGCAGTAGAAGTACACCATTGTTTACACACCCATGGAATAAATTTATCGAATTCCAAAGGAGAATGTATTAAAGCTTGAGCAGAATAATCACTGCTACATAAAATGTTCACGGATTTCATCTTCTTTAATGGTTCATTATCAGCCTCAGCTCTAGCGCCAGCACCAGCATCAACACCAGTCGCAAAACTATTGGCTTTAAGCATTTTATTTGTTTTCTTAACCAAACTGTGAATATTTTTATTATAATCGTTGAAACAAAATGGTACAAAAGAACTAAGTCTATTGACATCATGTCATTTTCATTTTCAAAATTGACATGTTAACATTTAATGTTAACATTTAATGTTATTCGAGTCAATTCGAACCAGTGCCTGGAATGATAATAATTAGCTTTTACGATGTTATTTGCTATTTTTTTCAAACAATCAATATATTATACTTAACAAAGTGTACATTTTACATGTTGAAATGGCCAAAAATGATACGAAATTCAGTACTTTTATAAGAGCACAAATATAATCGACTAAATCTATATTACTAAAACTCTTTATAGTATAATCTGTATTGTAGAGTCACATTCTGATACATCACTAGTTGTCATTCATGCATGGTTGTCTCTACGGATTGCTTGCAGATTGCATTCTTTTTTCCGCGATAAAAAGTTTTTTATCCCAATTTGCAGCTTTTGAGTTAAACAAGGTAGTTAAAGGCAATGGTTCTCGTGATAGCATTATTTTACCAGTAAATGTGTGGTTAAAAATTATATTTGGTGATCAAATAGACTACGTTCTGTGTGAATTGCGTATCATGTAACTTTTGTGGTTTATTTTGCGGGCTGAACTATCTATTTTCAACTCAGGATTCTTCCTTGCAGTGAGTATATTTGTTTTATTTCCTGTAATAAGTGTTAGTGAAGTTACAGTAATATAATTTTGTAGTAGTTTTGCAATAGATAAATGTCGAATGTCAAGGTTTCTTATTTACTTCTGTACGTAGAAGTAAGTATAGATAGACTGGTTGGTTTGTTCCGCTTTGTCACCACAGGAGATTGTGTAGCGATATTTGTATCTTTTGCATGAACTTCTGAGAAACATAAATGTTTTGCCTTAAACTTTTTCCTGTCAAAATACCAACAACCTGTGTCACTATTGTCTTTTTTAATTGAAGGTGACAGACGAAATATAAGAAAGGCTATTGCAAACCACCAAAATCAAATGTTTCTACTGAAACATTGTTAGTTAATTGGACTCTTCAAAAATATATTTTTCATGGTCAAATACCTTAAATGTTGAATTTACATGTTTGATAAAGTATATTAATCTTGCAGACTAGCAATGTGTAACCTTGTGTTTTAATTGGAAAACATTTTTGGTAAAACCAAATTCCAATTTGAATTCTGATAACAAGCATACCTACTCCACTATGCATTATGCCTGCTTACCTCTACAACGAATAATAAGTGATACAACAGTTCTATAATAAATATGACATCAACATTCAAAATAAAACCCTGGTAACTGTACCAGAGGTCCAATTACCCCCCCTGAATCTCCAATAATCCTCAAATTACTAATCACCAATCGGACATTAACGCGTTTGTAATGCCACGGGCAACACTGATTACTTACCACCAGGAGATCCGTCTGCTTGTTTATCTCATAAAATTCATATTACTTAGGCTTGTCCCTTAAAAAAAAACTAAATACATAGGTATTTATATGTGTTTGTAACACTTAAACTGTCAAACACCAAGCGGTCACCGGTGACCGCAACCTATTGTTGTAATTGTATCTACAAAACCGGTACTCGACGAGTTAACTAATTCTTAATTCATAAAATTCCTACTTACCTACAATTTGACTATCTATTCTCATGAAATATCATTGCATCATACAACTATTGCATCTGTATTCAAATAACTAGAATTAAAAACAAATGCTAATTATACAGTTTCACTAACAAATGTCATTGTTTGTGAATTCTCACACAAGTACCTATAATGTTCACACCATACTCAATTGTAGTATTTGTAGTGTGAAAGTCGGGTAAAAGTAGTTATTTTGTATTGGTTTATAATCGGTTACACATTCCTTGATGTATTAAATTTTACATTAGTGTTATTAGTAAGTACCTATGAGTATTATTACAATGTTCATTATCCCGAGAGACGTATGAGATCATTGTAATTAACATTTAAATATGTTATGCAAAGTTTTTTTTTTTAATGTTGCCCCACACTAGGATTTTCTCCTGTGTCGTGGGTGCGTTTACAAACATACAAGTTCACATACACAATAACACCCAGACCCGAAACAATTGCAACAACAATTTGTGGATCACACAAACTGTTGTTCCGTGCGGGAATCGAACCCGCGACACGTTGCACGGCAGCCGGTTGCCCAGCCACCGCATCAACCGTGCAGTCGTTTATGAGTTTTATTTGTACAAGATCACAACAAAACGGCTAAATCCAGTTGGTCGGCACAGAAATACATTTTACTATAAACTAAGCTGCCTATTTTTCTAGTATTTCACATCTGTGAGATGATTTTGTACTGTCAAGCAGATAGATCTGCTGACAGAAGCTAGTTTAGTATAAGAGTAACCGTGGCATTGTATCCTTTGTTATGCCCATGAAATTGAACATGAAACAAGCCAAAGTAGTGTCTAAACATCAGAAATAAGGTCTAAAGTGGAATTAGTGGTGACCGGTGACGACATGAGGATTGATCAGGGACTGAATGACTGACAGACATGTATTGTTTTGTTGACTTTCAAGTGTGTGCTAATGGTCTAATTAAGATAAATTGTTTGACTTTGAAAACAGTATTCTTTATTGGTTGTGATTATCTTTAGCTGTGTTCTAAAGGTCAGTATTCAGTTCATACAATTTTGTACTAACTTACTAGTTGATACTTTGTTTTGACCATGCAAGCCAATTTTTAAACTGGCATTGTGATACTTTTACATATTTATAAAGTACTAATGACTGAGATCAAACAAATCCTTGGTCGATTTCATTTTAACTGGTCAAGATCCTGACCGCTAAAATTTAAAACTGTATTATGCAACTACATATTATTCACATACAATCTTACTTACTATACTAATAGGACGAACAGCCTATTATCCTACTAAAACTAATTTGTCCTTAGAATTTTGTATGCACGACACATAAACAATAACAGGCTTGCCCTTGACCAAATCAATAGAGCCATTTATAATGCCACTCAGTAGTTACAACACTACTATGATACCTGTATAGTATGCTTATGTATGTACAGTATCGGGCAATAAAACTACTACATAGCCAAACATGAGCATTCCCGTATCAGTCAAACATAAATATTAGTATTTACAGTAACTGGCAATAAATATTGCACATTGACTTTTGTAGTTAAAGAGACAATTTTGTATGGTCGACGATAGGGTTTTCTACCCGAGTACCCGGAACCGGGTATTTGAGGCATTTAATATTCGGGTACTATTTAGCGGGTACCAACTTCGATCAAAAATTCACTCAAAATTATAACCATGTAGGCGCCTGTTAATTAGCAAACAAATACGTATACATATATCATGTCTTAATTACTTTCTTTCATTTCAATTTTTCTTTACAATTGTTAATTGAAAGAACTCAGTTTAATTAATTATAAGATTTTCAAACATTTAATAATAGAAAATAATTGTAGTTCCTTCTTACTTTATGACAATACAACTGTTGATAAACAAATTTGATTAGGGAATGCAATCTCGATCTCGATAGATCTCATTCATTTTACGAAGATGATTAATCTCGCTAAAAATTAACGGGATCTCGCGAGAAACTAGAACTAACGCAGAAGAGAAGAGAAGCTCTTTACTAAAGAATTTTTGTTTGATATTTGAAGAGGTGACCGGTTATTTCTTTCATTTGTAGCAGGGATGTTAGGGAGCTCCGTAACCTTAATTGAAACTATCGGATATCCGATATAAAAATTTTTCGGATACTATCGGATAGGGGCGTGACGTATAAATGAAACCATTAGCTATTTGTATGTACTTTACTTTTTAAATTCCTTAAAATTTTAATATGCGTAACCGAAATTGTCCGAAACTAACAGATAATACGAGGCCTTTATAGTACGAGTTTGTTTCATGTTTAAAGTAATCGAATCGAGTACGCGTTCGACGCTCTGATTGGCCGACTCCAAAGAACCAACCAATCAGAGCGCCGAACACGTATTCATTTCGATTACTTTACGAAAAAATGAGCTTGTAAAACAAACTCGTACTAAGGCCTCCGAAATAATTTCATATCCGTACCCGTAACCGTATCCAATATAATAATCATTTCTAGATCCGTATCCAATCCGTATTCGATGTTTCATTCATCATATCAATATCATCCCTGATATGTAGTTTGATAGCTACCTACGTTAAAGTAAAATATTTAAAGTTCATTAAAAATCTAGCTCGTACCTCCAAGTTCGTCCGCGTAACTTTACGCAGTATTCTATTGTTCCAATTTCCGCGAAAAATAAAAGTTTATATCATAAATTCATAATATATTTTTTTATTCCTTATTCAAATATTTAGTATTTGAAAAAAAAAATGTGGCCCATATTTATGACCAATTACGTGGCGACTTTGCCAGTGTGTGTTACCAAAGGTCGATGTGCATGTTTATCGCCAGATATAGTGTGTAAGGATGTGTGTACGGTGTGTACGACATTCACTTGTATGACGGGATGTGTAGTACCCTGATGGCTGAACAATGGGGCACGCGCCGACGATTAAATAAACGATGTTAGGCTACATTCACATTTATAACCTAGAAATAAATTGGAAAATATTTGTATTTATCTTTTTAATTTTGAACACAGTTCATAATGCATTTTTTTATGACATAAGCCGGTAAACGAGCAGACGGATCACCTGATGGTAAGCCATCGGCGTCGCTCATGGACATCTAGAACATCAGAGGCGCTACAAGTGCGTTACCGGCCTTTTGAGGATTAGGAGTTAAAGGATCGCTGGGGATTTAGGAATTGGGGAGATTGGGGAAGGAGAGGGTAATTGGGCCTCCGGTAACCTCACTAACACGACGAAACACAACGCAAGCGTTGCTTCACGTCGGTTTTCTGTGAGGCCGTGGTATTATTCCGGTCGAGCCGGCCCATTCGTGCCGAACCATGGCTCTCCCACACTTAAAGTAACCATAGTCTTTATTTGTCAGAATTAGTTAGATGAGTAATAGGAAGTAGTGAGCAACTATACATAATACTACCTAACTCGCTACATCTTTTCTATCATAATTTTATATCATTTTATTTCATACTTAAAACATTTATTGCTCTGCTTAACATATGTTCGGCCTCAATTAATAGTTAAGTATTTTAGTAATTACACTACTTCCAAAAACTCACCAGATTAATTCTGAAAAATAAAGACTATGAACTTTATTCACAGTTAAAGTGGTGTTCTCATTTCATTTCACTAGCTACTACAGCGCGGTTCACCCGTTCTGCTCGTCTTCTATTGACCTTAAGTGAGGGGAAAATCATACCGCAGAGGTGCACATTATACCACTGTACAATGTAACACCCACTTTTCACTATTTATGTTTTGAGTCCCATGTAATAGGGGGTAAGCCTATTGCGATATACCGGGAACAATTCCAGACTCCGTGGTACTACTGAGAATTTTTTTAATAACCAAGCACTTTGCCCGACGCGGGAATCGAACCCGAGACCCCTTGCCCGGCAGTCGCACTTGCAACCACTTGGCCAACGAGGCAGTCGTATAAGATAAAAATATCGAACTCAACCGTTAACAGTAACTACTGCATGTAACAGTTTTTGTAATCGGTATGCATGTCACACAATAACACTATATACCTCTAGAAGGAAACAGCATATATTTGTATGTAGTCTAGATACAGCACTGATACACAGACAGTGGTGTGTTTTGAATTAAACATATGTTAGTAACAGAACAATTAGTTTTTTGGATCAGTATGTCAGAATAATTACTAATTAGTGTATTAATTATTAAAATATACTTAATATTTGTGGTGAAAGTACCTACGTTTAAGAAATCTACTTTCATCTTACTTTTCAATGTATTTAGTTGACTAACTAAGGTGTACAATTATTAATTTATTAACATTAGTTGTTAACACAGTTGTGGAATAATATTACATAGTGACTTTAAAACGCTAATTAATTAATGTACAATGTTTAATCTTTGATTGTATTGCCTCTAGATTTTTTACGACAAGGTATCAGGTACTCAAATTCAAACTCACAAGCATTTACTTCAATTACATCATAATTTGGTACTTTTAAAACGTCAACAAATATTAAATAAATAATAGCCTGTCAGTCTGTCCGTCAGTGAAGCTAGGCGCTCGTTCCAAAATGTAGATGCGAGTGGAGAAGAACGAGCAAGAAACTACATTCGTAACTCTTTTAAAAAAGTATGTTCTACAATGTCTCTGATGCCTATATTGCAATATTGTAGATACACACACGTGAGAATGTAAAGACACTTATAAATTAACGTTATATAGATAGTTATATGTACTTTTTATTTCCGCTGGTAGAGGAGTTTTTGGTATGAGTCCCTACTTCCTACTAATATTATAAATGCCAATGTTTGTATGTTTGTTTGTTTGCTACTCCTTCACATCAAAACGGCTAAAGGGATCGAGATGAGATTTGGAACAGGGGTAGATTATGGTCTGAACTAACACATACCTACATAGGCTACTTTTTATGTTACGGGAACGCGGGCGAAGGCACTGGCAGAAGCTAGTGGAATGTATACTTATACAATACTAGCTACTTCCGCGCGGTTTTACTCGCTCTGCTCGGCTTTTATTAATCGTAGCGTGATATTTTATAGCCTATAGCCTTCCTCGATAAATGGGCTATCCAACACAGAAAGAATTTTTCAAATCGGATCAGTAGTTTCGAAGATTAGCACGTTCAAACAAACAAACAAAAAAACAAACTCTTTAGCTTTATAATATTAATATAGATTTCTGTCCAATATTGCTTCCCAATAACCAACACCAATAATCCACCCGAAGTTCCAATCTAATCACAAATATTTGTTACAGATGCGCCACCCAAAATAGGCAACCATGAGTTGGCTCCGGACAACCAGCCTCTCGCTTGCTCGCCAGCTCTCGAGGACCCTCGACCCTCGACACGACTACGAGCCACATGCCTGCTACGTGTCATTTTGCAAGCACTGGCAACAGGCACACGATATTATACTTAAATCTCAAGTGAGTATGGTTCAAAATGTCTTAACATGTTTAGAGTGACATGTTTTTGGAATTGGTTGTGACGTCATTAACCTCGTGATCGGTAAATTATGACGTTGGGAAATCTTAGAATCAAGATATATGTACGCCTCAATTTTGGACTTAAGGTTTACGAAAGCAATATGCAATAGTTGGAAGTCTATTATGAAGTCTGTACTTTTATGAGTTTGTCAAAAAGGTACTGATTAGTCTTTATTAACTTTTGAGTACCTAACATTTGTTGCAGTTACTTCTTAAATCAACAATTATAGAATATAATAGGTACATTTATTTGTAGATACCTACAACCGCACTAATGATAAAAAGTTAACTTTGATACGAAATCCAATTGAGATTAGCTATTGCGGGAAATTCAATGACCACATATTTCCTACAGTTGTGACACATAACCAAGTATTAGACGTCAGTCAAAATGCTAAATTCAGTTATTTGCAAGAAACACTAGACAGAAAGGAGCTAACTCTCACTCCCTTTCCTCCACAGCCAACCCACCTACACGACGATGTCCTAGGCGTAGTGAACCACCTGGAACAGCTCTCCACCCTGCTAGTACTCGAGGCTAAAGCGAGGGAGATCAACACTGCGACCAGCCCCGCCTCCTGCCTAGAGTATCTACTCAGTGAAAACCTGCTGGATAAGCTTTATGAATGGGCTGTTTGTACTGGAAAGTAAGTGTTACTGAAGATTTTAGAACCTTATTTGTTTCTCATGCATGAGAGTACGGGTTCAAAACCTACCAACGGCATGTACCAATGTGACTTTTTCCGAGTTATATTTACTTTCTAAGAATATCCAGACACCACTGGCAAACGGTGAAGGAAAACATCGTGAGGAAACCTGGGCTTATAATTTCTAATTATAAGTTTGTAATCGCCAACCCGCATTGAGCAAGCGTGGTGATTAATGCTCAAACTCTCTCCGTGTGAGTAGAGGCTTTGCTCAGCAATTGACATTGACATTGAACTCAATTATTTTACTGAAGATTTTACAACCTCTAATAAACAGAAACATTTCTGTGCTGGTAGCTTAACTAATGCATTTTGCAATTATTTTAAGAAATTAACGCCCGTATACTGAAATGCTACTCAATTTTAAATTGTACTTAAATATCGTGACATAACTGTCATTTTGTAAAGAAACTGTAGTGACAGAAGTAGCTAGACTAGAAGCGCGATTTAAAGTTAAGTAGCCTTTCATTATTCGGGCGTAAGCTATCATAGCTTCATGAAACAAATAGCAACTAGCAGGAACTTATGTACTTTAGCAAAGCTGCTATAAATTATAAAAAGTATTTCTACATGAGAATGCTAAACGGATTCGACTAGGAAACAACATTTATGTACATATTTGGTAGTGTTAACAACACTTATTATGTAAGTAACCTGGGTGTCTTCAAGGCCCGAGTGAATAGGTTCCTTATGGGACGACGTGGACCATCGTAGGCCGTCAGCGCTTACCACCAGGCGAGATAGTGGTCAAACGTCGGTCCATCACATATAAAAAAACTGACAGACGCGAAAGGGGACTTCTTTTATTAATTATTAATTAAAACAATTAATTGTAATTATAGTTTGTAAATTCAATACAAACCTATAAAATTTCGATCACCAAGTGACTACAAACAGGTACAGAATAATAAATGAAGACTGTGCTCAAATCGGACAATTCGCTTTGTTTAACAAATTACCACTCCGTCACTATCAAGAGATAATTATTGCGAATAAATGTTGTTTCATGCATTATCATTTTCAACAGACTATGTCTGTTGGGTCGTTGGTCGAAACAATGTTTTTCATATTCCTAGTAACATATGACGGTACCTTTCTTA